ACTCCCAATGTACTGGCAAACATATCTTTATATAATGCCAAGATGTCTCCCTTTGGTACATTAAAAGATACAAGTCAAGCATACGGGTTCACTATCCATCTTATGATTAAGATGACAACATATAATTTGTTAAAAGTGAATTGTTTTATTCAAACAGAATTATTAATTAAAACAACCCAATATAGATTTCACTACTAGAAACTATATCAATGTCTCTACCCATAGAGTCCCACTTTCGACAACCAAGACAGGCTGTCTCTGTTAGGAAGTAGACAACATAAAAATCTTATCATGAATAAAGCGCCCAAATTTATTCCTTCGATTGTGGATCATAAGTTTTAGACTATCATCTTTAGATTCCTGTCTTCCACATGTTCTTCTCATTACATGTATGGCCTAAAGATTTAGAATGACAGTTTCAGACTTTCAGTTTGCTTATCATACATTCAATTAATATGAACATAACGAGGACAATACATAGATATATGAAATAAATAAATCTTTATTAATAGTCAAAATGTCTCAACGTTACATTTATTTTTAAGGACATAAATGCTAACATATGGTTTGGTAAAATTACCTATGCCCATAAAGAAGGTTTGACACATTCACTAATAGATTTAAAATTAAACACTTAATGAATTCTCTCAACTTGATATATGCTCAAAATTCCTTACACTCATTGCATATCTCTCTCTTTTCGCAATTAAAATACTCTTTCTCCTCACTTCTCTAAATGCATAAAACCATAGACATAAGCGACATCTATATAAACTCTCAACGAGCCTCAACATTTATCATAACCCAAACTCAGAAAATAATTACTTGAAACCAATAAAACAAGTTTGAGTAACATACTCAAATAATCTCCAACTCGACTCAAATTCTCAACTTACTCATTTAGGTATCCAATTTTCATATTCACCATCACACACCTAAATGTTGGGGTGTTAATAGTACATGTTCAACAAAAATAAATTGTGCCAAGTTCAAACTTTCATTAAACTGGACATTGGGAAATTGATTTCTTAGTATCTATGCTTTGTCATCACAATCATAAGTCTTCGTCATCTTACTTCATCATTTTCGTTTGTCACTCAATATCTTCTTGTACTCTTTCACTTTTGCAATTTCTTTCACAATGGAGGAACACTCTTTCTAACATAGCTCCACCTCCATAGCACAACCAAAACTATATTCCCAATCAACTTGTACAAAATTTTCACCTTGATGCCCTTCATGGCAACCAAAGTATCTTTCTGGACCTCCAAAAAACCTCTATTTGTAGAATAATCTCAACCCAAAATGTCTAAAACCCCTAAAGAAACTTCTCTTTATAAGCTAAGAAACATACATAATTTTATCAATGTCCTCGCAAAACCATCAAATATTTCACCTTCACATTACTCATTCAAATTACTTTAATACTAGAAGCATTGACCATTAGAGAAGTATCATGATCACATGGCTTATAAGCATAAAACTACTCCTTATATGGACGCATATGATACAAACATTAAGAATCTAAAGTCAAAGATTTAATAATATTTTCATCGACAGTAACATAATAAACATCAGCTTTATCATTATTTTTGTCACCAATGACATTTGCATAATCAAAAGTGTTCAAGTCATTAATTCCAAGGCAAAAGGGCAAGATAGGGTAAGAGATTTTTGTTTTTAACAAAAAATCCGAGGAGGGGATGACCAGTGTTAGTATACCTTAGGTGTTATTAAAGTGGCCCCTAATTGCTGATAGGAATGTTGTTAGAGACCCTACTAAAGTGGCCCTATCCCTTGAATGAGGAGCGCGTCACTCCAACCCTACTTAATGTGCCAATGGTAAGAATACGTGGAGTGTGATGCCATGCACTCTAAATCAAGTACTAGACTGGCAAGAAACAAGTCTTCGCATTTAATACTTATGAGGGAGTAATTCAATACTCGAACTCGTAACCACAAGCCCACCACAATACTGTATTACCACTAGGCCACCACAGTACTCTATTATCACTAGGCCACCACAATCGGTGGCCAGGATAGGGTAAGTTATGGCCCAACTTACCCAGGATAGGGTGAGTTATGTGGTCATGTAATGGTTAGGAAAGATTATAAGTGATGATTTATAAATAAAAACTCTATATCCTAATATTGTAAGGCCTTTTGGTGTAGAACCCAAAAATGAAATTGCATGGCTTTAAGCCCAAAGCAGACTATATCATACCAAGTGGAGGTTTCTTACTTTCTAGTTTCGCCAAGTTGCTTTATCAGTTACAAATGTCTAATACAATTTAGGTAGGAAGGCCAACAAAATTATAACTTTATCCCTCTCATCCATCTTGACCTCTACACTTAACAATTGAGTTATGCACAAGTTTGAACCAAAAAGTTTTGTTCAAACATTTTTTTGCCATATTGTTTTCTTACACAAAAATTTAATCAAACTTTCTATTTGATCCTATGAACCAAACAGGCTGTAGAATTATTTATATCATCCATAACATTAACTTACTCATCCATCTTCGACTGATACAAAATCCTAAATCCTTTACACCCCTTCTTTATCTCTCTCTTTCTCACTTCTCTCTCTTTTTCTAAATGGAGATCTTTTCCTCCCCACTTCTTTAACCACTTAAAACCCTAAACAAAAGGGATATTTATACTCTAAATGGGTAATATCAACCCTGAACCAAACTAATAAAATAGATTTGAGTCAATAAGACAAATTTCAGTCACATACAAAACAAAGAGAGCATATATTTGCAGATCAAGCTCAAAAATACAAAATCAGTCTAAGAGGTTAGTTGGCCTCACAAAATACAAGAATGAGAAAAGAGATTGTGAATCCTTGCACCCTTCTTGATGAGCAAAATCCAAATTTCGTTGTGTACCCTCAATGAGTTTTCATGTTATGAGATGATTATTTGATTATGTAAAGGATGTTTTGAGTAATTACTTTAATAAGATTATTACTAAAGAGAATTGGATTATTTTTCATTATACCATCTAATAATTAAGTAAACGTTAAAATAGAATCAATTATTTTTATTCTTATTCATTTATTTTCCTCTGATATCTCATGATACACTGCATCTTATATAGCTATATTGTATATATGTTAATGTGCGTCCGAATTTGCATCATTTTAGGGGTGTTTTACTTTACATAAAAGGAAAAAGGAATATGAGAGGTATGATTCTCCTTCCCATTTAGTTATATGCTTACTTACAAAACTACGAATAGTAGCTTCTTCCTGTTAAAAGTGAATGTCTTAAACATAAGAGTAGTTAAATTATTTTAATTGCTAATATTGTCTTTCAATCTGATTGGCGCTATTTTTGAGCGAAAAGTTAAAGTTTTACTCTAATAAATGCAGAAAAAGGGATACTATAATCAAATTTGCATTCATGAATGATGAAAAAAAAAATCATACAAATGCATGATCATCACAAAACCTAACATAATAAAAGTCCTCAGTTCTGTTTATACTACCTGACAGTTGTCAACCTGTCCATATTGCCTACAAAGTACTAAGATATATAAAACATGTGCAAAAGGCAATACCAAAATCTTTTCACAATCATCTTTCCATCCAAAAAGATAAAATATCATCAAAAGGCATAATTATGTTGTTGTACATGCGGTCCTCGTAGGCAGCTTCTTCCTGCTGCTTAATGGGGCAAAAGAAGTTCTCTAATTTTGAAGTTGCATGTTACGTTGCAACAATGTAATGTTGATAATAAATTGTACGTATAGGATACGCTCAAAATTTCACTAAGATTTCTAATCGAGTAGTAATATAAATACCGTGTTTAGATTTGATATAGCATTCAACACAGGGCCATTTCTAGATAGGAAATGTTTAAAAGCAGCATTTAGCTCGTACATATCCTATATTTAAAGTTTTCATTTGTTTACTATCTCTGTTGCAATTCCTAATGCTAATTGTACATTAAAAAATGTGATAGGATATGATATTTTCATCTGTGTTCCAATGGATAATATTATTTCAAATACTAAGCCCCCATTTAGTTCGCTGGTTTGAACTTTTTGATTTGAACAGAATAATTCAAACTGTGTGGTTTAAATGGTAGTTTGAATTGGCGTTTGAATGTGCAGTTAAAGTTTTAATTTGAACAGAGAATAAAATTCGAATTTGTGTTTGGTAGGTGTGAAAAGCAGAGAGAATTGGCACTTTTTACCGTTTAAAAATGGTTTGAATGGTTAAACTTGAGGGTGGAACTAAACTCTAAGTTGGGCCTTTTAACTCAATTCAAACGGGAAATATAATTCAAACTGCATACTTACCAAACGTCAGTTCTAACTGTGCTCATTGTTCAAATTGAGTTGAACTAAACTAAGCTAGTGTAACAAACAGGAGATAAATCTACTTGTTACCATACGATTAAGCTTTGAAAGTTATAAAAATTGTAAAAGTAAACTTTAGTTTAAAATAAGAGACTCTCTGTTTGGACCTTCTTACCAGTAGGGTAAGTTTTTCACTGTTGAATCTGATCAAAATCACATCAGATTAAAAAAGTATGCAAAACAAACAGTTTTTGACATAGATCTAGCGATTAAAAATAGAAAATTACCAGTAGTTTATTTCTTCTGATCCTACCATAAAAAATCCTTGACAATGCAAAAGTTGCAAGTTTAAATGAAAAATTAAACAGATTAACTAATAATAATCAAACGCTAACTTTGTCATATACTATACTTGGTGACAAATTTGTCACAAAGTATAACATATGACAGATTTGACACTATAAATTACATTGCATTGAGAAGTCTTTTTACACTCAAATATTAAATTTACCATTGATACATGCTCTAACAGGACTTATTTTGGCACATTTATTTCGTTTACAAACTACATGCGTGTGGTACAACATCTATTTCTAGAAAAATTAAAATGAAGTTCTTGGATGTTTCATGATTTTAATCCTTCATTTTAACTATGTAATTAGTGAAGCACTGACACTCTTTTCTTCAGATTTACGTTCTTTATTTTTCATTTTGAGAACAGCAATGGAAAGTTTTAATAGAATGATTAGCATTTGCGGATGGAAAGCTGGCTGATTTTGTTGCACTGGTAAGTGAAGCAAAGCCAACTAACCAACAATAAACTCTTGCACTTCAAGTTTTGCCGTGTTATAATCTAATCCACATATATATACTCTCTCCGCAATGCTAGAAGTTTATTCTTGTATAGCATCTTTTCTCTTATATGGCACATATATCGTATAGGTTAGCATGTATTATCACAGCAAAAGTTCAACAAAAACCATAACTGCAGCCATCGATTTTCACCAAGATACACCGTGGAGAGTACATAGACATCCCTTCAAATTAGGCTTGGTCACCTAAATACCAACTTTGATATATTTATAAGTTATTATATACTATCAATACTAATGATGCTGTTTGTAGAGCAGCCACTAGTATATTTGATTTGAGTCCTCTTTGTTCAGAGAAAACTGAGAGAAATCTTGCTCCCATTGGACCATTTGTATCTATATGCATTAGGATCCCGATTCATGGATCTCTCGGTTCGAGAAATAAAAATAAGAGGATCGAACCATTTCTTCTGACTCTTTTTCAAACGTAGCTGGAACAAGTAATCACTGGGGATGGCAACGGGGTGGGATTGAGACTGGTATGCTTCCTTCACTCTTAGACCCTACTTCTATTTTGTTCCCATATCCGTCTCCATGCTCATTGAATTTACTTTTCGGTTTAATGTGATTTTGATCAGATATGATATTAAAAAACAATACACTACTGGTAGAGTTACTTTCTCAAGAGAACAAGTTCCATAAACAAAGGTGTGATGCACTTGAAATCCTCAGCTCATATATATCACTTCCTAAGGTTCAGCTCTAATGCCAATGCGCTCATGTAAAAGATCGGATATCTGTTTGTCTTTGTACCTTGTCTATAGAATGTCTTGTATAGTAATGGATGGCAATTTAACATGTTAGCAAAAGTGCCAGAGTTGCTAGTATTGTTATCAACTCTTTGCATGATTAAACTTGTCTTGAAAGTGCGTCCCTACAAATGTCAGGCTCAAACTGACCTCACCTAACTAAAGCTGTGGGGCAATTAGCCGCATGCATGTTCACACTACTGTTTTGCACGCACACGTGAAAGCTGAAACAAAATACCTTTTTCATTGGCTAATTTGGCTTGAGCAGAAGCCAGTGATTATCTGGTGATCTTGCTGTATTCATGATGAAGTGGAACTTTCAAGATACTATATATATACATACATATATATGTACACAATTATATATGGTTAAGGTATTATTACGTGTTTGAACTAATTTTGGATAGGATGTGTCTATGGCTGGAAAAGGAGGCGTGATATATATGTTGAGAACGAAAAGCAAAATAGCTAGTAATTGGAGTCCACAAACTAGCAGAAGAAGAAAAAAAATGGCAGTGGTTGAAGTGAAACCATAAATATGCACCAAAGAATGCCTTATTATGTGCCTAGTTTAGCATACCAAGAGTAGAATCCTTGCGGATTCGCTTAAACCACTTTCCCCCTTTTTTCTTTTTTCTTTTGGACAAGCTTTTCCTGTGTTATATTTGCATATGTCCGCATGCAAATGAACAAAAATGTGAAGTTCAAATACAAAAATGCTTTCAACCTCTGTGTGTGTGTGTATTTACATATATATATATATAACATTTGAGAGCTTGATTTCTATTTGTTTTATATATTTTCCTATTACTGACATGAGGATTGGAGCGTTTTTCTTGTACTTCACAGTTTAGGCGATTAAAACAGGCTAGCTCTTGGGGCAGCAGACTTCATCACGACTCTTCAATTTTTTTATGTGATGAAGGTTGAAAATGGTAAGAGAACTATTTGCCAGAAAGAAACGACACCCACAAAATTATCAAAGGTCAGAAAAATTTATACGTGTTTTCCTCAAATAACGTCAGAGGTACTATAAATATAGTCACCTTTCTTTGACTAAAATTGGTATGAAAAACCATTACCATTTTGGTTCATTCAATAAAATGACGGGTAACACACATATCGTATATGGACCAAGTTTTTAACTGTTGTTTTCTATCGTGTTTGATGATGTGGTTGATAAGAATTTAATCCCATTAATTATTATTAATTTTTTGTTAATTACTCAATTTATTACAATTATAAAATGAATATTTTACAGTTAAAATAATAATATTTATTGAGGACTAAATACTAGAGTAGCCATTATGTATATTTATAATAGTGTCAAATTGTATATACGTTCTTACTTATTTCGTTAAAAGGGTCAGCCCAAATTCCGGTGGGCAAAACAATATATGTTTTCTAAGACTAGCTACCACAATTAGACACTTCTCCTAATCTTCATTTCATGCCTGATTTGGTGCGTCACTTTGACAAATGGAGGAACAAGATATATATATATATATACACTTTTTCCATTACATTATATAATGATTTTTTAATTCTTTTGCTTGTACGTTACAAAACATAAGCAAGACTACTGGGTCCCATTAACTAATTATACACCACACTTTTAATTATGCTGAAGGTTGATTTGATTTCCATTAGTAATAAATGGCTTTTGCTAGTGACAGGATTGTCACGTCTTAATCATCTATATAAATGAGAAGTTTGTTACAAAATAAAGCATTCAACTAATACCTGTACGTTTTAATGATATTGATTAACGTTTTGAGTGCTTATATTGCGCTCTTCTGATTATAAACTAACAAAGAAAACGACAATGTTCCATGAAATCAAGTTTCACTGCCATGTACGGTTGTATACAGACGCATACGTTAGCAATCTTTGTTCCATTTAGCGTACATGCATACGTCACCAATATTACGTGTGTGTCTATATATATATATACATATATATATATATATATATATATTCTTTTTAGCCCTTCTTTTTTCTAATTTCTTATAGAGACACTCGCTGCCTTGGATTCTTTACAGCGGAGTGACATATATATGACATCTTGTGCAAGGACAAGTTCTTTATCTTTTTGAGGACGCCCTTCATGAATGAGAGAGACATATCTGACCATTAATTTCTTTAGACATCCCTTTAGGAATCATAATTAACAGTAGTTTGCATTTATATATACACTACATAATATATATATATATATATATATGCATATGCTAATATACAGAGTGAAAGAGTTTAATATGGCCCTTTTGTTTGTTATCAACATCACACTTAAATTAAATCACCAACCAATCGCAATTAATTCTGTACCTCTTGCCACCTGCAAATTAACTCTTTTTTTTTTTTGCTATGAACTCTTAACTTTTTTTTTTCCCGTATGAAATGAGGATTTATCCTTTTTTTTTCTCTCTTTCTTGCGCTATGAAATAAAGGTTTTAACTTATTGCCTCTTGCTTGATCTTATGTATAACAATGGTGAAAAAAAATCCCCCAAATTCAGCGGCAAAGCCATTGTGATTCAAGAAGCATGTCCGCATTTGTGGAGAAAATGGTACTGCCCTATGCATGCACAGCCACCGAGAAAAAAAAAGATTAGGGACTTTAAATTCTCGTTTATCGTTCTAATCTGACACGAATTAATTTTCTTTCTTTCTTTCTTTCTTTTTTCTTTTTTTTTTCTTTTTCTTTCTTTTAGGTTTGTTTTTTTTAAGATTGGCGTTTGTGTTTACATGGTCCCCATGGTCTTCATGTGCAGATAAGTTTAATACAAGAAAAGATAAATTGATGCAGTTTTGAAAAGATATTTAAGTATGAGCTCCTTTGGGGCTCGTTTCATATTATGGTCCCCAGCATCTAAGGTTTGAGGATTAAATGATGAAAGACTTCCGCACATAAAGGGAAATGTGTAAACACTAATAGCCAAGTTTTGATTTGGATCACTTTTTAATCAGAATTTCTATGTTCCGTACTTGAAATATTAGTATACTAATTATAATCCCACTTGCCAAGAAATCATGATTTTAAAATAATAATATTTCAGACCAACGTTCAAAAGGATACATATGGACCACTTTATATATCATGTTTTCATGAGCAATTCCAAATGTGTATGGTACCTTTTCTTTTTATACAGATAGGAACCAGAAACCCTTTTTCAGACCCTACAAGCTTTTTTTTTTTTTTTGGTTCCTTTTCTTTCCTAATTAATATCACTAAAACATGAGTTAATTTGTTGGTAATTAGTAATTAATTGATATAGCATTTGGACCTCTCTATCTATCTATAAATAGATTGATTCCCCTATATATGTTGCCCTAGCTGAAAATAGGAATAGCAATATTGGCTTTGATTCTTTGGGTTTTCTTTATGCCTTACTTGGGATTCTCTGTTTGCTCAATTTGTCTATAAATTAACAATTATGTCAATTTCCATTAATTAAAAAACAGCCAAAGTATAGTATTGATGCAAGTGATTTCTTCATCACCAAGCACTGATCTTATCAGAACTAAATTGAGATATGTGTCAGGCTTTTCCGGGTAAAACTTCGAACAATAGTACAATGAAAAATGTTAAAGAATGTTGAATGAGAATTTTCCATATATTATTAGTTTATTTGAGTAGGCAATTATCAAGGTCGAGAATCACTGGATTTTGATTAAAAAAAAAGAAAAAGGCAATAAGTGAAAAGAGAATTTAAAGCTTTTCCGAAGATCCAATATTCTTGATTCTTCAAACAATCATGCTGCGAATATTACAACGAACCAAAAGTAAATACACATACATACACGCATATACATATACACACACATATACACACACGAGTCATATCTTTACTATATTATTAAGAGAGAATAAGTTTCTCCCATGGTATTTGCGAAACGTTTCACAAAAAGTTTCGCAAGGGATTTTTTCCCTCTTCATCAAGTGAAACTTTTTAAAAAAAAAAAAAAAAATTTGGGCTCTTTTTTTAAATACTTTTTGGGACTTTTTTTTCTATCTTTTATTTTAGATCTTTTTCCCTTTTATCCTTTTTTTCTTTCTCTTCTTTCTATCTTTTTTTTTTTGTGTATAATAATTTGTATATCAGTTGTTTTAAATGAGTCTTTGATTAGTATAAAATACTCGGATGGTTAAGGTCAGGACTTGGCGCGGAAGTTAGCTTAACTAAAAAATGCTTGCTTGTATCATTTATGATGACTTTTAAGCAATTTCAATAGTTTTCTTTAGGGAAGTAGCTTATGGAGATTGCAAGAATGAGATAAGCAGATAATAAAATCGAACCGGTCCACTGGATAATTACAAAAATATCCCATGCGCAAGTTTATCTTGTATTTTCGTAATGATAAGAATATCTCTTAGATATGTCTCAGAAATCACATAAAAGTATTCTTATATTTAATGTGGATCTGCGGGTTCTAAGAACATTAAACTTTAATCATAAAATTTTAAAGTTAAAATATGAGCATCAGGCAGGATGTCATTCTATTTTATTTTTTGCTCAACACAAGTGCATTTTATTTGAAAATAGTTGTCAACTTCGCTTCAGCTTTACTATGTCAAAAACCTTAATGGAATGATTGAACAAGATCAATGGTAGCAAATTGTTATTTTTAATTTTTTGAATGGGAAAAATTTTATTCAATAATTAAGTTGATCAATACAAACTCTCATATAGACGCAAATGACTACCAAATATAAGGGTATTTAATCATAAATAAAGATTGAATCAACTCGTAAAGACAAACATGCATAGAGGTGAACACTAGTACCGAGACCCAACATAAAAAATTACCCATTTAATAATTGAGTGCAGCAAAAGCTCTTTCGACAAAACGACTAAAGTTGATGGATAAAAACAGTTGACTAAGACCAAAAAACACAAAACTCTAGGGTCACCCTCTACGCTGCATAGGATTAAACCTAACAGACTAGACCTACCGTTAAAATAAAAATAAAATCAAAACAAAAGTCTCGAACCACACGAACTATTGATATCAAAATTGCTTTCATATAAGAGAATATCAAAGAGTAGCACGCCGATGAAGGAAAGAAGCTACTGATAGACCCTAAAGCTCTAGAACAAAAGATGCGTGCGCTAGCACGAGCACCCACCAAGATCCACCCCATAACAGAGACAATGCAACACCAAGGGAATGAAAACCCTTATATCACGTCACGATTAAAAGAAAGGTTAGCCCAAAAAAAACGGTCGAAAACCCGCCAGTAGCAACCCCTCTCCCTCCCCTCAACTTCGCCCTACCAACACCCTCAAAAATACACACACAAAACACTTAAAGCCCGTTTGGTTCATAAATTAAAATCATTTTCGATTTACGTGTGTTTTTTGTGAGAGAAAAATATTGTAGCGAATCATGAACCATGATTCGAATTATATAACAAATCCTCCAACCAAACGGGCTCTTAAAGAAAGGGAGAGGAGAGGGAGGGAGAGTGGCTAAGAAAAAAGAGGTATGCATTGTTATTTTCGTTGGAGATGAATTAAAGTCCTTATAACAACTTAAACAGGATTACTAAGTAGTCTACAATCAATCAACTATACTATTTTTATCATAGCAAAGCATATACCTATAATGCGTGAGATTAATCCCATAAGAATGACATCAAAATCAAGGAGATTTTATTTGTAGCGTATGAAGAAAAAAATTGAGAGGTATTTTGTTAAAGTATCATATTTTTTATTCTGATATAATTTTAAATTTAATCTAAACAATTAAAATTGTAATTGAATTTTTTATCTAACAGTTATAAATTGCGTCCTAATCTCTTAAAATTGAGCGGTACACAAAATTTAAAAAGAGTTTGAACAAAAAATGAAGGAAGAAATTTGTTTTCAAATAAAGAATAATTATGAAGGTAAAAGACTGCGTTTAATTAATAGATTCGTATTATAATTTTAGTTTAGTTATAATTTATGACTCATTATAATATTTTATTTTATAAAAAATATATATAAATTAAGAATAATTATGAATTATAATTTTAAATTTATGAAAATAAACAGTTAATTAAAAAAAAAGCGAAGACCAAAAGAGAGGGTAAACGCCGTCTTGGTATATATGGGGAAGACTCAGCTGACAAGATCTCTTGTACGGACCCCTATCTTTAATATCTGTGGCTCACATTAATGCTCTCATCACACCCTTGACCACTAGATTATCACTTCTCTCTCTCTCTCCTCTCTCTCTCTCTCTCTGACTTTTCTGCTCACTACTATTTGCCCTTTTCCCCGCATATAGGCACAATTCGACCCCTTCGGCCTTAAGTTTAATCTTCCTCAAAAATTTCCGCCAAAAAAGAAAAAGAAAGAAAGAGAGAGATTGTTCCACAAATTTACCAAAAAAAAATACTAGGCCATAGCTCAAGTTATCGCTAGTACATCCCCATTAAACACTAGAAAACAAAAAACCACAAAAACAAGCTTACCCCACAAGTCACAACAGTACTTATTTAGAGTTTTCCTTGTCTTCTTCTTCTTCTTCTTCTTTCTCTTCCTCCTAATTCATCATATGCTTATATAGCTTCTTAGTTGTACTGATTAAGCAGTTATTAAAAGATGACCTAATTAACTTAGCTAGCTAGCTAGCTATCCAGCTAGGGTTAATCCTCTCAACCTGATCTCTTCTTCTTTCTTCTCTCTCTTTTTTTTTGTTTACTTTTTTTAAAAAAAACAAAAAATCCTTTTATTTCTTAGCTTAGGATTATTTTCTTCTACCCCTTTCTTTCTTTCTTTTTTCAAATATTTTAACTAAAATAAAAAAGAATTTAAAAAAAAAAAAGATTTAAGAGATCAGAATGGGGAGAGGTAGGGTTCAACTGAAGCGGATCGAGAACAAGATCAGCAGGCAGGTGACATTCTCAAAGCGACGGTCGGGATTGCTCAAGAAAGCTCATGAGATTTCCGTGCTTTGCGATGCCCATGTTGGTTTGATTATCTTCTCCACCAAAGGCAAGCTCTTTGAGTATTCTTCTGATTCCAGGTATTTATAACAACATTAATTTCTATTTTATGTATCTATTATATATTATATGCTTTGGTTTCAGTAATTTTAAGGAGAGAAAAAAAAATTGGTTTCCTTTTTTAAGCTTATCTATATCTACATATGTATATATATATATATATATATGTATTTTATATTTCGTCTGGGTATAAACATGTTTAGCTATTTTTATCTCCAATTTTGCTTATGCTGGCTAGTAATACTATATAATTGAACGGTACTTTCCATAGTACTGGCTCTACGCCAAAAATCTTCAATCCTCTTCCTTTACGGAAAATAGCAGTCTGTTGCCGCTACACTTTGCACGCCATGATCCCTCTCTCTGTCGTTTTCTGTGTATGCATATATATATATATATTTTACATACACATATATATACATATGGTGCATGTGTATATATCTAATGTGTAACTTATTACATTACATGTCATAAAGTACACCAGTATTATTGTTCCTTTGCCCTTTCCGTACTACCATTTTCAGTTTTCTGATACATAAATTTCTAATGACCAAATGTAGTAAGTACATACACGTCGTTAAAGAAGTTATTGAAAAAAATAAATAAATAACGATTGCCTTGGAATTTTTCTTTCTTTCTTTCTTTTTTCTTTGTACAAGGCATGTTTTTGATAGACATGGCATTGGAGTTATTGGTCCTAATCAGAAGTGGGAATCGTCTATGAAAAATTACCAAAAGAAAGAGAAAAATATTCATCATCATCGTATGCAGTGTATTTCAAATAGTTCCAATTACCGAAAAAAAAAAAAGAGAGAGAAAATATTTAATTCTTGATTAGTACTAGTTTTTGCTTAATGTGAATACTACTACTAGTAGTTGTACTTTACAGCTTGTTATTTTCCAGGTGTCGGACTTTGGGTGAGGGTTCTTGAGCCACGTGTCATTAGGCGTGGCGTTTTGGTTTTGCAACCTAGTATTTTGTGTAAATTAATGTTCATAGGAATTATTAGGAAATCCTCAATGTTATAAGTTAGTAATGTAAGAAAAGTTGATGAGAGAGGCTAAACGGCGTTCTGATATATAAGTTAGTTATTTATTACTTCCACAAAGATCTTCCACTTACATCTAGGGACATTGTTTATACGGTAATTTTACCATTATATTTATATTAATATGAACATTTTTTAATATGCATTGATCTATAAAGTATCTTTTTGATATATGCTTACAATAATTTCAGTAATTAAAGAGGTAAATATTAATAGAAATGATCACTATTATTGCATGAGATGCTCGTTTTTTTTTTTTTTTTTTTTTTTTTTTTTTTTTTTTTTTTTTTTTTTTTTTTTTTTTTTTTTTTTTTTTTTTTTGTATTTTATTGAACTTAGAGGTGAGAATGATTGGACTTCTAGACCTCAACATTTATAAGAGCGCCTAAAAATATAACTGTAATTAGGCTAAGTTTGCAACAACATCTTTTCTGTCTTATTAGCTCTAGATAGTTTAGTCATTCTAATTTTTCACCATGCATGTTGCTGATTCATGCTTTAACTAGAGTCACTGCTGAGCTGAAGTTTCGATAACATATAAAGATATACATATACCTATATACAAAACTTGCACATAAACAAAGCTATACACGCTGTCAGCCGTTCCATATATAGCGAAATTAACTAATATTATATACTATTATATACATGATCGTTGGGCAAAATATTTGCATATATAATCCTTATAATAAAGAATATATGTTTGTGTGTTGTAGTTTGTATCCTTCATTATATCATCTTGATATATAACTTATTCGTCTAGTACTAAGATTTGGAGTATGCTAAAAGTTATACTTTGATTGCTAAAGAAGAAGTAAGTGCAACCAATTAGCAATCTCACCAGTAAATATATATATATATATATGTATATGTATTAGAACAATTTACACAGCGAAGCTTTGCTCCTGTTAACAAGCTAGTAATATATTTGGCAGTGTAATTTTAGGAGTACTTGATAGGTTTCTAATCTTTGAAAGTATGATTGAATAATTAACTTCCAAGAAATTGTAGTCGAATAGAACCAAATAAAACCAGATTACTAAAGTTAAAAGAAAAAAGAAAGGGAAAAAAAAAGATGTTTTCTCATTTTCTTAACAAAAATATGAAAATTCCATTAAAAAAAAAACAAAATATGAAAACAATTTTAAGCACACTCCTACACCCACACAGCAGAATAATAAACTGAAACAAAAATAATAGAAAAATAAAAAAAATAAAGATTTAAGTGGTTCGGAAAAATTTCCTACATCTATGGGAGATGGAGAAAAAAATTCACTGATAATTTCAAAATTACACACTCATACAACTTTCTCACTTTCTCTTTCTACCCAAAACCTCTTACACTCTTGCCTATCTCTCTCCTCGCTTTTCTCTCTCTCTCTCTCTTAAAAGGAGACACTTTTTTTCTACATTTTTCTCTAAGCACACGTAAAGGTTTACACAAAAGACTTAGTTATAGACTCCTAATAAGCTATAAAATAACTCTTTCTCAAAAACAAAAAACAATAATTCACTCAAAAAAACACAAAATAGTAACTTTCCCAAAACCAATATGAGGCACGTATCTGATAATCTCCACTTTTACTCAAATTATCTCAACTTATACATTTGGGTATTTAATCTCGACACCCATCATCGCACACCCCTCATGAATGGGATGACAAGAATGCAAACTTCAACAAGATTAAACATGTGTCAAGTTCAAACTTGACACGAAAAACTGTTTTCTTCTTCTTCAAAGCATCTTCACTGCCATAAGTCTTCACCATCTTACATTTATTGTCTTCACCTACTATCAACATCTTGTTGCACTCTTTTTCTTTTGCAACTTCTTTCACAATAGAAGAAGACTCTTCGTGGCTTGGCTCCACCTTCATAGCTCCACTTACAATTGTCATCTCAATTAGCTTATACAAGCTTTTCACTTTTTCACCCTTCATGGCTACTAAATCACCTCTCTTGACTTGCTTAAAACCATCATTCACATAGTATTCACAACTCAAAGTGTCCAAAGCCCCCAAAGGAATCAAACTTCTACTTAGTTGAGGAACATGCCTAACATTTGTCAATGTCCTCACAACTCCATCAAACATCTTCACCTTCACAGTGCCTATTCCAACAGCTTTAACAGTAGAATCATTGGCCATAAGCAAAATACTAGCATCACAGGCTTATAGGAATCAAACTACTCTTTATATGGACACATATGAAACTGACATCCAGAATCCAAAATCCAAGACTCAAAATATTTTCATCAATAATAACATAATAAACATCATCTTCAGTGTCATACTTATCACCAACAACATTTGCATAATCTGAAGTCTCTTGGGGTTCTTGTTTTTCTTTTTCTTCAAAGTGCTTCATCAGTTCTTCACAATTTCTCGTAATATGTCCCTACTTATGACAATAGTAGCACTCAATATCCTTCCTTGGACGGGATTGGGAACAATCATCTTTCTTATCATAACATCTCCCTCATGACTTGCTCCTATCCCTATTCGAATCTTATCGTGCCACTAAAATTTGTTCAGTATAAGACATACTACTAGGTTTTTTCATATTTACAGTCTCAAACAGAGCAGTTGACACCTCATCCACAATCAACGTAATCTTTCCAACTAAAAGTGTAGTCACCAAAGTCTCATACGATTTGGGTAGGGAGGCTAACAAAATTACCGTTCTATCTTCCTCATCAATTTTGACCTCTACACTTAGGCTTCGTTCATTTCAGTGATTCGAGTTCTCAATTTCAGTTTTGCTACAGTTAAAAGCTCTCACAAAAAGTCACACCTAATTTTTTTGCTACTGTTAAAAGCTCCACATAAAGTCACATCTCAACTCGAATTGAAAACTAGAATCGGCGAATTGAATGAGGCCTTAATAATTGAGTTATGCACTTATTAAAATTATTTATATAATTCCTAATATCAGTTTCCTCATCCATCTTTAACTCATACAATTGCTTCTTCAAATATAGTCTATTTGTTAGGGATTTCGACATATAAATTTTTTCTAATTTTTTCCATAACTCAGAAGGAGATGTTTCATTTATAACACTATATTTCAGTTCAGGAGCGAAACTTAAACGAATAGTGCTTACCACTCTCGCTTCCAATTCTTATCAATCTTCATCTTTCATCTTTTCTGGTTTGTTTCCTTGCAACGCTTTCAATAATCCATGTTGAATTAGAACATCTTAAATCGTGCATTATTAGATGCTGAAATTGCTTTTTCCGTTAAATCGCTCAATTTACTCAAATTTTATCTCGGACATCATCTTGACTTTTTTTCCTCAATCTTCACCACAGTCCTAATACCAAGTGTTCGAGAAAAACACAAATAAACTAAAACAAAAATAACAGAAAAACAAAGAAGACAAAGGCCTCATTTATTTCACTTATTCGAGTTTTCAATTCTAGGTTTCTACAGTTAAAAGCTCTCAGAAAATGTAACATCTAACTTTTTTGTTACAGTTAAAATCTCTCCGAAAATATCACATCTTAACTCGAATTGAAAACTCAAATCCACGAAGCGAACGAGGCCTAAGATTTAGGTGGTTCGGAAAAATTTCCTACGTCCACGGGAGAGGGAGAAAAAATTCACTAATAGTTTCAGAATTACATTCATACAACTTTCTCACTTTCTCTCTCTACCCAAAACCCCTTACACCCTTGTCTATCTCTCTCCTTGCTTTTCTCTCTCTCTCAAAACGAGGCACTCTTTCTCTGCACTTTTATCTGAACACACATAAAATTTTACACAAAACACTTATTTATAGACTCCTAATAAACTATAAAATAACTCTTTCTAAAAAATAGAAATGATTAGTAACTTACCCAAAAAAACACAAAATAATAACTTTCTCAAAATCAATATGAGGCACTTACCTAACAAGAATAACCCAAATGAGATTTCAAAACCATTTTCAATTGACACACCTCGGAAAACATGAAATAACTTTTCTAAAATTCTACCAAACGAGCTCCTTAGTATTCACTTCTTTCATTCTTTAGAGCAGGTAAGAAACCAATTTGAATATAGCTCCCTTCCTAACAGTTCAAATTTCAGAAACGTCTAGTCATTGCTTAATGAAAATGTTTTAGCAAATGATTACGCAAAACTTCTGGTTGTTGTACTTAACATGGTATAACATGATTTGCTTCTAGATTTAAATACCTGTAAATGTGATCTAATGGATCTTCTAAATGAATATTTTGGCTTCTATATGGCATACAAATCCCACTTCCTAGTATCCTATATTATCATATATTTTGGACAAAACGGTGATGGTTTAACATTCAAATTCGGGTTAAGTTGCACTAAGAGCTCCCTTATAAATATTTCAAACTAAATGGGCATTGATTTCTAGTGATATCTAAAACCATTTAGCATAATTTGATTGTTTGAAATATAGCTAGGACTTTTCAGATAATGTAGTCAAAAGGATGCCATGTCAGCTATATGCTATATGTACTAGCTAAGTTACCTTCCTTTCACTTTTAAAATTTATATTATTTTTTTTCTCACTAAGTGATGCAGTAGTATAATTGAAAGTACCTTGATGAATATTATCTTTATATTATTAGTATCATTTTTTTTTTGTTTATCCTAGGATTATTATGATTTTAAATTTAGGATTATTTTTACTAATTTAGGAGTTACTTGCTTTCAAATTAGAAATTTGACTTGCTTTCGAATATTACCTTTGGTTTTGTCTCGATAAATAGGACATGACTTCATTACAAGTTCATTTTGGAAGGATTTCTATCAATAAATTTTGGTTAGCGTCTTTACTCTAACTTGTTAGAGTGCAATTCTCAGTATTCTCTAGAATCAATCAGTTTTGGTTGTGTCCCTGTTTTTCTGACATTTATGAGAGAATTAACAAATTAGTAAATGCCTTGTTATACGATATTCTAACTGAATCAATAGATTTTGGAATGGTTGTAACCCTTGTGGACTCTTAAGTGTTTTGTTCATCGATTAAAGTGACAATTTCATCGTTGTTGAAGCACGATTTCATCCCTCAATCTCAACCATACACGTGCCAACTTAGACCGGCTCTAGCCACTGGGACAAGCCAGCAAGACCCGTGGTTAGCCATGATCAGATCATGACTACAACTATAAGAATTGAATACTTGAGGCGGGAGGAAATCTGATCATAACCTATCAGAGAATCTGACTTCTCAGAAAGACATCCAGAGAATCACCAAGAATCTTCTAGGAGACAACTTAAGATCTTAACAACGACTCGAATTGATTGCAGTTTCTAACAACAAACGACGACTGCAATATGAATTAAAGTTGTCTAATTTCAAGATAACAAAAGTATCTTCAACATTCGGATGTCGAATCATAGTCATAATAAGGAAATTAGTGCAGCAAGCATTTTCCATTAAAGAAAGGACACATTGACAAATTGACATCCATTCACGTGGATTTTCACACCTAAAGTCGCCCAATTCTCATCCGTATCTTTGCAATTACAGATTACTTCTCCATTATTCTCATTTTTAAGCTTTCTTAAGCTCTCTTCTTAAGCTTTCTATTAATTTTATGCACTTTATTCAATCGTTCATACGCTAGATCAATCCTAAGCATCAAATCCGAAATCCAACAACATCCATATTAACCTAATACAGCTTGACTATAGATTTTACCCTCTACAATTCTTCTATTAATTTTTTCCTTGACTACAGATTGCACCGGGCCTAGTGCTAAGAGCTCTGAAAGATTTCTTCCGCTTTTGAATTTCAGAACTCTCGTACTGACACATCTTTCATTCTCTTCACTTCATCTTTTTGCTTTTTCTTTTTAAAATTCTATACTTGGTGGCAGTCACTTTGCATGAAGCATGTATTTATTGACTTAATTTCACTTCATTCGTGAACACTTACGCAGTGGCGCTCTTCGTGTTTATCATGTGTTGTTTGAAAATCTAGTAGATGTTCGGACAAAGCCGTAATGTACACTCATTTTCTTTCACTCAAGACTAAGATTGGACTCTCTGACCGGAGCTCCATCTTAAGAAGACATATCGAAAAAAATAACAATATTTTTTATAGTTACCTTTTATTTTGAAGTTTAAATTATTTTTTAATCATCAATTTGAATTCAATTAAGATATAAGTCTTTAGTTTAAATTAAAATTCAGAGTGAAAAAGGCAATGCCATGATTTCTTCCCCTCTCCTAAACTATCTTTCATATGAAAGAAAAAAAGAGCAAGATAAATGATAAGATTTCTTGGGTAGGCAAAAATTTTCTAGCTATTATTGTAAGGGAAGGACTAGTGTGTGTGTAAAATGTGCGCTCGTATAAATTTTTTACTCGATCATGAGATTAAGGCGGGTTGTTGTTGTTTGTTGATGTTGTATATAGTTATAGTGTGTTGTTTTAACACTCATATAGTCATACTCACATCTGAAGAACCAATTAATGGAACTATTTGCTTAGGATAACATAATTTATAGTAGTCATCACTTTACCTTCATCCATGCACGTTCCTTTGTCATACTGCTGCTCTACTCTACCAAAAATATTATTTGCCACCTATATTTTCTCCTTTCCCCCCCCCCCCCCCCCCTTTTCTTTCAGTATACCGGACCAGCTTTTTTTTTTTTTTTTTTTTTTTTAATTCCTTGTTCATCATTGGATAATGAATTCTTTTTTCTGTTTTCTTTAGTTTTATGTTTATGATCCCAATTGATGTTTTCTTCTTGTGAAGCATGGAGACAATCCTGGAACGGTATGAGAGATACTCATGTGCAGAAAAGCAGCTTGTTCCCACTGCTTCTGAATCTCAGGTGTTAAATATATATGTCCACCTTACTGCTTTTCGATATTGTACTATGAAGACCAAAATTAATTCTCACTCTCTGTAACTTAAGTTTCTTAAGTTATTCTCAGAAAAATAAAATCAAGTTTCTTAATATTAACATGTTTAGAATTTAATCTCTTTACGCTCAAATTGCTTCTGGATTTATAATTAGCTTGCATTTTTAAACATGCGCATTCTTTTCCTGTCCTTTTTAAAGTCTTTCCTTATCCGCCTATGTTACATTATGGTTTATAGTTAACATGGCCTATATATATGTAAGCATAGAGAATTGAAATTTCGTCATGATGATTTTCTAAAGAGAACGTATGATGAGAGATTAAATATGACTAATGACGAGCATCCTAATAAGAGCCACTCTTTTGAATGTAGGAAAGCAGCAGCTGGACTATCGAACTCCCTAAGCTCACGAATAGAATGGAAGTACTCCAAAGGAACCTAAGGTAGTACTTGTCTTCATAACTAATTGATATCATATGCCGATTAATAACTTTTGAGTACATAGTGTACTATAATTAAGAGCGTTTTCAATGTAATGTTAAATCGATATGCCAAAGTCAAATATATATTTTGGCATTTGAGCAGAAAAATATTCTCTAATACAATGTTATTTTTATGCAAAAGAAGTATACGGATCAATTAAGTAAGAGTGTGTTAGGATCCTGGTTGAGTCCCAGGACTCAACCAGGATCCTAACAGAGTGACACATATCATCGGACCATGCGTATGCTGATTATTGCATATACATGTATGGTGTATTAACCAAACTGATTGTTGCATGTATCTAGATATCATACTAAAGATATCAAAAGGGGTTGCTCCTTGATCACTGCTCTTTTGGCACCAAGATAAATGCATCAGGTTTTATGCATGGATCTTGAATGGGGTTTGAAACATGCCAACAAATATTAAAAAAAAAAATGATATTAGTATTGACTTCATACGTAGGAACTCTATGGGGGAAGATCTAGACCCCTTAAGCTTGAGAGAACTTCAACATCTAGAGCAACAGCTTGATATAGGTCTTAAACGGATACGAACAAGAAAGGTAATAGCATGACCTTATTACATAATTTCATGTTACTTCATGATATACATCTTCAATGTTTTCACTTGGGACTTTCCTTGCTTGCTTGTGGAAATCACAGAACCAACTCATGCTTGAAGCCATTGCAGAAATGCAGAAGAAGGTAGGTGCATGTTTGGATGTCGGTTTTCTAATTGTATATCGAGTTTGGTTGCTCGCTAGGTACTGCCTAATTAAGTCTGCAATAGAAATGTTTCAAACAATGACGTTTATTGGCAATTAGAAGCATATGCAAACCATCTTATTGCTTTCTTCATAATTCAAATTCATTGGGTCATTTTCCTGGTTTATTGGCTGTCTCCTGTCGCATTTTGATATCTCATTGAATTGCTTACGTATTTTCAGTATTTAGTACTTATTATGCGGTTATTTTTCATGATATGGTACATTTGTATCGGAGAGACAGCCAATGAGACAGCAAAATGAGGACAATGGATTTGGACTCGTTTCTTCAGTTACCTTAGTCATATGAGCAACCTAGCTATATAAGTTAATACTTCATATGAGGAACAAGTCTATCATTGTCAAAACTCAGCTGATTCAGTCGCCATGATAAACAAGTTCTTTCCTTTCTAACTTTCACTGTGGGTAGTACTGGAAAATAGTTCTAATTTATTTAAGTTAGAAAAAATTAAAGGTTCTTGAGTTTCTCAGCTCACATTGTTAGCTTATGACAGGCAAAAGCATTGCAGGAGGAGAACAACCTCATAACGAAAAAGGTGCTGTTTGTTTGTTGCACTGTCCAACAAAATATTGTTCTTTAAACTTGTACAGCTCTTCATGTGTGTGTGTGTGCGCGTGCGTATATATATATATAGATAGATATAATATTGATTGCCCTAAATATGAAACAGCTGAAGGAGAATGAAAATATGTTAGCCGAACGCGCAAACTGGGAGCAGCAATGCAATAATATTAGTGGTCCAAACTCAACCACTCCATTGCTTATGGCGCCACATCCAAGACCCCCACTTCCTTCTCAGTATATATCTCATTCACACTTTCAAAATTTTCATTCCCATATGATAATATAACAAGCATATATAATGTAATGTTGGTTTTGAAGTTTGTAAATGGTGAAGTCATTTGTGCAAAGAACCTTGAGCAACCTCAAAGAGTTACAAGTCCAAAGGATTTTTCGTCACATAATAAAACCCTTTTGGTTACGTATAATGAGCTAATTTAGAACTAATTATGCGTATGAATTGTGCAGTAGTGGGGCTTTTCAAGCAAGCGGAGTCGTAGAAGAAGGTAGTGGATATCAAACTCGGCCTACGACGAACAACACTCGCATACCTTCATGGATGCTTAACCATCCGAACCAATAGCAAACTAATCGCAATCACTTGGGTTTTTTTTGCCCTCCCCTTCATTTCTCGGCTAATGAAGTCGCATAATTAAAGATCATGTCAATTAGTTTTAATAAACTCTACTGTGAAGCCCCATTCTTGTTGTGACAACATAAAACCAAGAACGAATGTCTTGTAAATTTAATTTGTCTCGTGAAGTTTTTTAGGGGTATAGAATTTAAGTGGGAATGTGCCAAATCCAGGGATACATTGGTCCTATCAGGGTAGTTACGCTGTAAGTTTGGAGGAAGCTTTACTCCCTCACCTGTAATGTGTTCTTAGCATGCATTGATTTTGCAAGAAATTGAAGAAATATGCCCACATTTATTCTGTGGTTGTACAAATGTTAAACTATCAGCATTTTGTGTATTTATTTCATTGAAAACGCCCTTGAAAGTCCAAGAGCAATAGCGGTGTGCTGAGACACTTTTCATAAGCAACCCACTTCTATTTTCTCGGTAGCCCTAATAAAAAAAGTGAAAGTAGTAGAAAGTAGGTCAATATGAAAAGCTTAAGAAAATATATAGGTTAATTTTTAGTTATAGAAATTAATAGGTCATAATTTGTCAAGTTATGGTTCATAACCAGACAAGTTATAGACAAACTTGTCAAGTTATGGTTCATAGATAGACAAGTTATGGATAAAAATCATGAATTATGGACAATAACTTGTCAAGTTATGGTTCATAACCAGACAAGTTATGGATAAAAACAGTAATTTGACATATTTATTAACTTATGTAAACTATTGACCTATTAATTTTAATTCATTACAAGTCTTGACCTATTTTCCTCTCCAAAAAAAAAAAGAAAGAAAAACACTTCAGTCGTGTTTGAAATTGATCCCGTTTATTTCACGTTTTTTTTTTTAAAAATGAAAACGTTTTCAAAACGGCGTTTGGCGCAATAAAAACAAAAAACGGAAATCAAAACAATTTTTTAATTTAGTGTAAAATGAGAAAAAAATGAAAAATGTCTTTTCATCGTTTTTCATATTTTGTTTTTATTTTCTCCTCTCGAGCAAAGAAAAAGAAAAATATTAATGAGGTTTTTTATATTGAAAACAATCTCTTGATAAAATTACCAAACACATTTTTAAAAATAATTTATGTCTGAGATTAAAATTATTTTCATTTTCACTTTTATATAAAAAATAAAATTATTTTAAAACGAATTCCAAACACGCAATTTAATTTTCTCGCAAGACAACAAAATCTTATTTTTATGTAGCAACATCTCACGAAGAGTAGTTTAAAAAGTAATACCCGAATTCCCAACAAAGATACTCCTGAAACCCATTTTTAAATGACAGAAACCACACAACATGATGTCCTTATCATTGACTACTAAAACATGTGAAGCATCCAAGGAAATAATTTTTCGCACGTTACAAATGTTCGAGTTCATCAACCTACAGAGTGCACATGATGTCTGATGAGCATTTAAATACAGCGCCATGACTGCAATGCAATTTTTGAAATAAAGGTTTACAATGTGTATCGGCGTCTATGGGCAAACTGTTACGAATCACACAAATCAGAATGTGTCTAGTTCGTCCGGATCATAAATACCAAGTAGCAGTGGTATTACAAGTACACGAGCCTTAAGAATGTAATTTACAATTTTCAATTTGAATTATTAACCAGATTCGTAGTATAAATGAAAAATAAATCATTGAATTCTACAAGATCAACTGTTCTCGTCTTCATATCCATAATCGCCACCATCAAGCATATGCTCCCTGTACAAAAAGATTAACATGGCCTTTCATCAAGAATAGAATAAAAACGAATTGCACACCAAGAAAATGCAACAAGAAGCTCCTTGAGATGATATGCATAACAAGACACAATTTTAAACAATCGTCAAGTGACTTAATACTTTAGAGTAGTAGGTGAAATTAACGATCCAAAAGCCAAAGCTAAATGTAAATACATTTAACATATCCATCTAAAACTCATAAACATCAGAAAAAGATCATAATATGAGAAAATTGGATCCCCCAAATATCAAGCAACTCGTATTAAAATAGGACAATATGAGGTAACTAAAAATGTGATGGGAAGTTCACCTTTGTCCCATTTTCTGCATTGTTATATGTCTTGCAGCTTTCTATAAGCAAAGAAATGGTACAAAAGAAATAAAATGTGGATCCAGAGATGAATTTGCACACTATCTGCATGTGTTATAGAAAGCAATACCTTAATCTTTCACAAAGGCGTGCTAAAGCATCTGCACCAGTTCTGGATGCAACGTCCTCAATCTGAGAAGCATTTCTCAGAGTTGCTGAATCTGCCAGCTTGAACTCACACAACTCCTTCAAAGAACAAGCATCGGTTAAAACAGCAGAATGGCCACCACCAGCTGCCAGTTTCCGAACCTCCCCAATGCACCTGCAACGAGCGACCTTCATTAATATAGGAAGCCAGATAACTAAGAAAAGCTGCTGAGGGATCTAGTTTCACAATACCAATCAATTGGTGATGGATACCAAGCATAGTTAGATTTCTCATTAGCCGCCTGACCATAGCAATTGTAGCCCCATCCATGAATCCTTCCATCTCTAGTGGACATAAGCGTGTGCGAGTGTCCACATGCAACAAGCTGCACACCAGTTGGAACAACCAAAGCGGGAATGTTTCCCAGCAATGACTCAGACTCGCAAAGACTCAATGAAAAGAATCCAGAATGGGGCCCCAGGCCTAATTGCCCCACTTGACCACCGCCCCAAGCATAAAGAGCTCCTTTTTTTGTCACAGCACATGTATGCACACCACCACATGCTACATCCTTTATGAATATCCCATCAAGCGCAACCACTCTCCTTGGTATTAACTCTTTATCGCCAGCCTGAAGGGAACAATGCCCAAGTTGACCCATGTTCCCCAACCCCCAAGTATACCTACAAGGTCCAAAGCAAATTATTGTGATCAATTATGAATAGGAAATAATATTAGATCAAGAATGTAGCTTTTATAATTAGCATTGCTCTTCACTAGTGGTCATTTTTATAGTAGAGCAATCACTAACAGCTAAGAACAATTCTTAATGAGTTTTTATGTCATTATCCAGCCCTCAACATATAGTCATAGTTCACTCAGCATTGATTAAAAAGAAAAATAAATCTTTTGAAGTGTAACACTGCAAATATGAGTACTTATAGAATCTATATTTTGACAGTAGGAATAACACCGCAGGGAAGAGGGGACTTGCATGATGACATGCACCCAATTTCCACGATATCCTCTCCTTTATTCAGATGTGAGATTCCCATAGAAGATTTTTCTAAATCTTCCAAGTAACATGTGCCATGCGGATAACCACATTCTCATGCCTAAATGTAGAACCTAGTCTCCATTTAAGAAGTCCCTCACTACACTTACACCTCGCCATTTTCAGATATAGCCGCTGTGTGGTACTCCCCGCATGACACTCGGGTAACCTTCACAAGCTCAGGGGCTTCATCAAGGAACTTTGCATAAGCATTTATTATACGAGCCCCCTGTAAGCCTTCACATGTAATTCCTCTGCCAAGCTGACCATTTTCATTGTAGCCTGGTTTATCCAGAACACTAATTAAGTACCAATAATAATGGCAGGAAAAAAAAAAGAGAAAAATAAAAATAAAAATAAAAAAATAAAATAAAGGCGAAGGTTTTCTTTACTAAAGCAGTATAGTTTATCTACCACAAATTTGCACAAGCACAAACGAATACACAAAGAAACTTCTTCCACCAAATTGGCAATATGTAATTACATTTGGAAATCTAAAATAAAGAAAGCAAATGACTAAAGATTAACAAATACCCCAAGCTTGCAGCAGGCCATCCTCTGATAGAGCCACCACATGAGCTGCCCCACAAGAAACTTGACAGATAATCTGTATTTAAAAAAAAAAAGAAAAAAAAAAGAAACAAAGAAAGCACGAGAAAAACATGGTCCTTATCATAATAATAGCAATAAGTAGACCAAATTTATTCAGCTCAAGCTACTGAAAGCATTCATACAGGTACCAATGCTACCATACTAGCATTTCATTTGTAAGAATTCAACTTACTCCTCTTTTAACCAAATTAGAAAAAGTTTCTAACCATTGTTGCACCTACTCAAAATCCAAGTGAAGGGAGACGCCAACAAAGGAACATAACTTTCAGTTGATACAGTTTGAAGACAAAAAAGGTTCGTGAAAAACTAAAGAGAAAATGAAAATTCTGAACAAAATGTTCAACTTTATAAAAGCTACCACGCAATGTTCTTGACAAAAGCAATAGGGCCTTCCAGAGTAATTATAGATTTTCAAAAGAAACTTTCCATCTACAACTACAATAAGCTCAATAGCTAATCTAGCATCTATTAAGTCTTGTATGTTGGATTTTCTTTTTTGGGCCTCAAGAATTCCTTTAAATAAATTGATTCAATAACATCACTATGAAAATTCTGATCACCAAGGAAGAATAACCCACCAAAAAAAGCAAACCCTATAGCATACCGTATTTGGAGTAAATGCTCCCCAAAATAAGCGTGGAAAATCCGAGCCCTAAAGACAGAGTAGGGAAAAAGGTTACCGTTTATTACCTGCCAAAAACTAACAAGATAAATGTTTTATTCCAAAAAGCATAAGGTAACACCTGATTTTGCCCCCAAATCCACAGCCTGCTTGGCGAAATAGTTCCATCATTTTCACAAGACTCCGCAATAGCAGCAGTACAATGTGCTCCACAAGATACAGATTTCACAAACTCTGTTTGCAATTGCTTCACTTTCTTTGGATACTTCCTAGCCTCTTCAGTTCCATCTCCCAATTGACCAAACTCATTAGCTCCTGAAGAAACATAAATAGTACCAATTCTTTTATTGCTTATGGCCATAAGTAACAAGCAAAATGTTGGTGGATTTACTCTTTTTCAGCTGGCGCATACATTTTGAAATAAAGAATTAATCATTGAAGAACCGAAAAGGATCACAAAACCAATTAAAGAGATTGCATCCAATCAACAAGTATTTATTTCACTACATGAAACAGATAGAGTTAAGTTATCCAAACATTATTAACTAGTGAAACTTGAAACTTCAGGAAATAACAAATGCTCCTAAAAAGCAATATGTGCAAGTGAAATTGAGCTATACCCCAAGTAAAAAGTGACCCATCTGAGGCCACAGCTGCTGTATGCTCGCGGCCACAAGCGATATCGAGCCAGCATGAGTTAGCCCCGGCCGGGCATCCGAAAAGCTCGGGTGGCAGCTGCTTTGGGATCCTCAATTGGCGTTCTTTTCCCTGCCTACCCGTCTGTCCCGAATGGTTGTAACCCCACACGTAAATTGCACTCTTCGTTGTAAGGCTAAGGGGTCGGGTTATGCCAAAAATTTCATCTACATCCATTTATACCCCTAAGATTACCATATACAAAGATCAGATATTATCAAGCAATCAGGTCAACTAAAAATCTACATTGAACGAAATATTGCTTAAAATAAAAATTAATAATTGGATTACAAACAAATTTTCCAACGGAATATGCAAAGTTTCAAAATGTCAAGACTCGAGATTTACAATCAACATTCCAAAGTTTGGTTTGCTGTGAAGAATGATCAAATTCCCATTCGGAGGGGGAAAAAAAGTAAAACTACAAGCAAAACCGGATGCGGAAGGAATCAGGACAGCCCACCAAGAAAATCCCGATTCTCAGCAATCAAACAAAGCAAATGTGGATGAAAATCACAGAAAGAGAAAGCTGAGTTGGGATTAGAGACAATCAAGAAACACGTACCGGATAAATAGGTAATAATCTGATCCAAGTGAATTTTGCCGCGGAAAATTGCTTGTCGATTGCTAAGCGTATAGAGAGAGAGAAATGAAAGGGAGGGAAAGTGGGGGAGAGAGAGGATTACGGCGTTGTCCCTAGTCGTGACTCGTACCTGATGTCCTCAAATGTGGGAATTGGTTCGGGCTCAAAGTCGGTGCAATATGGTCAATACATCTCAATAAAAATCTGGTCCGAATATTTATTAAATTACATAAAATGAGTTATTTTACACCTTTACCCCTGAATTTATACGCTTTGGTAACCTACCCTCTAAATTTTTAATTTTGATAATTCACCCGTAGTTTGTGAAGTTGTTGTAATGTAATCCATTTTGATACTTTTTATGTCCCATTTTGGTATTTTTTTTCTTTAAATTGGGGACCAAAAATACATTCAACACAAAATTTTAATATCTTAATTCAAACTGTAACATAAATCTTTCAAAAATTTAACAAAAAATCATAAAAATTTAATAAAATGGGATATATTGCAACAGATTGAAAATTTATGGATTAAAATTGACAAAATTAGAAATTCAGCCAAGTTGTCAAATTTTTTCAAATTTTAGGGACAAGTGTGTAACATATTAAAAAATTAGAAGTCAATGGTCAGAAAAAACAAATAATCTGTTAGGCAAATTAGCATCTTCTGAAAAAAAATCTATCACATGATTAGTCGGCTAAAACGTTGCATATGGTACACGAAAAGAGAACGAAGGGATTATAAATTAAGGTAGATTTTTAGTACGTCTGTGTATTAACAAGTTAAATTTTTTTAATTGTTAGATATATATATATTTTTTATTTTTATGTGATTTATACATATCATTGATTGAAGAGATTATAAATTTATTATTCGTTAGTGGAAGCCATCGAACCGTAATTCGTTCAATTTTCCTTATTTTTCTTTTTTACTGAAACAGACAAAATCATTAATAATTTTTGAGGTCCGAAAGCGTTGGAAAAATGCCGTTGGGTAGGTAATGGGAGACAAAAAAGACATGAGATAAACATGTCCCCCCTTTATATAAAAAGTCGTCGTTTCGGTTTTCAACATCTCTCACTACTTCTATTTGCCTCGTCTCCTTCACTTCGGTTTCCTTTCCCGGTGAGTTTTCTATCATACCAAACAAACCCAGATTGCGCTTTCTTGTCTTGTTTAATCCTTTTTATATAATTCTTGAATTGGTAATTGTGTTATCGAGGTATGAAAGGGGTAAAGAAGAAGTCATTTTGTTTGCTTTGTGGTATGGGAAAACTCCCACTTGATGTTTCTGTAGTTTGATTAGCATCTTGTTTCTTTTGGGATTTTCTCTAAATCTGGTTATGCTCGTTAGGATTTTTTTTTTTTTTGAATCAACATGAAGTGGAACAGTTTATCTGTCCTTAATTTAGATCTTATTAATAACACTTAGAAAAGGCAGTATCTTGATAATCAACATGAAGTTGAACAGTTCTCTGTCCATAATTTACAACTTATTAACATTTAAGAGACGTTTGGTTCATGGATTAGAATCATATGATTAGAACTATTTTTTATTTACGTGTATTTTTTGTGAGAAAAAACACTGTAATGAACCGAATCCTCCAACCAAATGTCCCCTTAGAAAAGGCAATATCTTGGTTTCCAAATCACTTTTGAGAAGAATTGAACTTCTTTAAATTAGCATAATTAAATACAAGGAGACTTAAGTGGCCACTTAATATTAAGTAGCTCTTTTTTTCGTGCTTAAAATACCAATGAGATTGTCGAAAATCTCAGGGTCCAATATGCTTTTCCCTTTGTTGAACTCAAAATATGTGGATTTACGGCTCATCTCAGAGCGGTGCCTCACCACTAGGCGACACCCGTATAGATTAATCGTAAGCAGCTTTTGTTTGTGTCATGAATGGGTGAAACTTAGGGAAAGATTTAAAGTCAACTAGATAATAAATATGTCGGAAAAACTGATCAAGGTAAAGGTACTAGAATTTTAGAATAGGGATTGGATTTAAGAACCATTATGCTCTTGCTTTTGCTAATTGGAGTAGTGCTGTATTGTGTAACAGTGAGTTTGATACAAAGAAAAAGTAATTATTTGACACCACTCCAGAGGATATAATTGTTGTATGGCGTGATGTACGTATTAATCTACTGAAATGTGTTTTATTTTCAAGTTATAGTTGGAGAAAATTAGAAAAATATTGCTTGTTCTCTTCTACAGTGAAAATCTTGATCTGATTTGGTAAGTACATTGCAGAAGAAGTGCATGTACGATCATGGCTGAGTCAGATAGTAGTACCAATGCTGGGAAAAAGCTTATTCAAATTGATATCAGCTCAGACACTGTATGCCCATGGTGTTTTGTGGGCAAAAAAAATCTTGATAAAGCTATAGCTGCTTCTAAGGATCAATATGACTTTGAGGTTTTCCCTCCCTATGTACTACTGTTTGTTTGTTGTTAAGCTAACATTTTACATCTTCTTGTTCATGTCTAATCACTTTTCCATTATAAATTTGCAGATAAGATGGCATCCATATCAGCTTAATCCTAATTCCCCCAAAGCAGGTGTTGATAAGAGAGAGTACTACTATGAAAAGTTCGGGCCTCAATCGGCACGGATGGAAGCTCGGATGTCAGAGGTTCTTCTGTCAAACTTGATTCAGCATTAAACACGTTTATTGCATTTCAATCACACTAGAATATAATGCAATCCTTTTACAGGTTTTCAAGAAGATTGGACTGGAATATAGCCTCTCTGGACTAACGTAAGTTATACATGATGATAACCTTTTTTTTTCCTTTTCCTCACTGCATGATCAATGATATTGGTATAAGTACTTTTGTAGAATGTGTAATCTGGAAGCGCTGGGGTGGTGGGGGAATTGTAGTTTTACTCTACCGGCAGAAACTGTTATTTTGACCATTAGTTTAGTTTTTCAACAGTATGATTTGTGAGTGTCAATGTTAAAAATTTACAGCGTGCTGCATGCGACATAAAACTACTTCTACTCACAAATCAGACCGTTGAAAAACTAAGCCAACGGTTAAAATAGTACTTCCTACTGGTAAGAGTAGAATAGCAGTTCTTACCATGAAAGTTCCTAAATAAAGGGCATTTTTCTACCTTTTAAAAAAAAAAAAAAAAAAAAAAAAGAAGAAGAAGAAGATTAAATCCAATGACATTGTCTTGAACTTGCACAGGGGAAATACTCTCGACAGCCACAGGCTTATATATTTTGCTGGGAAACAGGGTCCTGATAAGCAACATAATGTCGTGGAGGAATTGTGCATTGGATACTTCACAGAGGCAAAATATATTGGTGACTGGTAAGCATACCATGATAGCTCTTTGGAAAAAAAAAAAAAAAAAGAAACTTGCTCTTTCACAACATCATTGGGTTGTGGTGTAATTTTGCTTTTTGATGATTTTTCCTCTTTTTTTTCTGTTTAAACAATTTTGTCCCCAAAAATGAGGATCTCAAGATTTTCCAACTTGGCTGCAGGAAATTTCTTGTGGAATGTGCTACTAAAGCTGGTGTAGAAGGGGCAGCAGAGTTTCTGCTAGACCCCAATAATGGGGTCACGGAGGTCTTTTTTCTTGAACGATTTCTTTATAGTTTTATTGAAAAATATGATAGAAGAAAATAAATTTTACAATCAACGAAATTTTAAGCACTGAGATGGCTGTCTGCAATCTGAAAGATTTCATTCTTTTTTCCCTCATGGCCTCATCTGTGTTGATAATCAACCACAGCTCTCTCAATGAGATCTATAGTTTAATTTTTTTTTTTCTATCTTTTTTTTTTTCAAAAAAAGAAAAATCTCTATAACTGAATTTGCTTCATTGTAATCCACCAAAGGTTAAAGAAGAGCTGGAGAAGTACTCAGCAAATCTTGCAGGAGTCCCATTTTACTTGGTAAGTGATTAAAAACCCGTTTATCCAACCTTAGCATCAAACTCGGATCCCTTGTCCACTTTCGGTGTCTCAAAACTTGTCCATACCAATATATCACATCATTAAACTTTTGAAATGCCTTTTAATTGACTTTTATATTTTTTTCTATCTGAGTTAATTAAGTGACGTGATATGAGGTTAGACATCATTTGGGATACCAAAAATTGAACTGGGGATTTGAATCAGCTTAGCATCATTTTTTTTTTTTTTTTTTTTTTTTTTTGGGTTCCTTTTCTTCTGTGTTTCATTCAGCTAAGAGATTCTTTTTGGGATCACCTTTTACTGCTTCTATTCACTGCAGGAATGTTTTTTTTTTTTTTTTTTTTTTTTTTTTGAAGAATGCTAAAGATAGTCCACAAGTAATCTTTGATACTTTGGCAGATTAACAATGGGAAACAGAGACTGAGTGGCGCCCAACCCCCTGAAATATTCTTGAAAGCTTTTGAAGTAGCCTCAAATTGATATGAAACGACACTTGAAAATGCTTATTTTCTGCTTCTATGAAGTTTATCTATTGACTACAGTGTGCCTTTTGCTGTGTCCTGTGCTCTAGCTTTAACTCTACCGTACCTTATGTAATAGAATAAACACATTGAGAAATAACAAAATTTCTGGTTAGATTTGAGTTTGGCAATTGGCATAGATGATGTGAATACCAATATCTAAACTAACGAAACAAACGGGGCCAAAGTTTTACTAGGGCTAGTGATTGCTCAGGATCTTTTTATTTTTTTTAATATATATATATATATATATAAAAACTAAAACTATTTAGAAGATTACACTGGGAGAGAAGGTGCTTCATTTGCCGATTAGAATTCTTCTGATTTGGTCCTTTCTTTTTGATGAATATATATTCTTTAGAAACTTTATCAGGGTTTAAACAAAAAGGTTAAAGAGATTACGAGAAACCAGTGAATAATATATCTTCCAGACCAAGACAAACCAGTGAAACAGAGAGTTCGGAAATTTGTCATTGTCATTTAATTTGGGTAAAGAAGGAACTTTTTGTCCCGACAGATCCGACAATTGAACTAACCAGCAGTTGGTTGAAAACCAAGTGTATTTATTCTTAAAAATTTCTCCACCAGTCGAAGTAATTGATTGAACCCACCCAACTTTACAGGATTGGGACAAGCTCTTTTCCATCATCATTCAAGACCTCCTTATGGCACAAGACAAACGTTTGACAACCAACAAACCGCTTTATTCTAGAAAAATTTTAAGGGTTACCGACTCATAAAATAGGTCCTACCCATAACTCTCCATATCAGACTATTTTCCACCCATAACTCTCCATATCAGGCTATTTTTATGTGAGTTCTGGTATCAGACATATTTATAAATGTATGTTGGTCTTCATTTATAGATTTTCTGTATAGTGAGCGAAACTGAACATATTGGTTGTCAGTGGAGAGTTCTACCAGCCGTACCGAAATGGCCAAAATCGACCAATGCTGACCAAGTTCATCTCGATTTTGTGGTTAGTTTTTAGTAGGTTTTCGACGCATTCTTAACTTGAAGAGGAGAGGGTGCACAACATCAACAAGGACTCGCTCACGGCTTATGAGAAGAACAGGGCCGAGTGGGGGGGCTGCTGGGGCTTCGATGAGGCTTAGTTCAAATCTAGGTTAACTATATCTACACAATCCATATATATAATTTGTATAAAATATATCCGTTGAAACCCTATACTAACAACCAAACTGCACAGCTACAGTTGGTTTTCTAACCAACTACTGGCGGTGCCAAGACTATCGATCATATCGAGTGGTCCCGTTGATGCCGTTCAGTTGGTCAGTGATTTTAACCACCCCTAGGCACCATTAGTCCAATAGCATTGATGTTGAATAACACGGATGCCGAGTACAGATTTTTCAGTTGAAAAAAAAATGAAAATGAAAATTAAGCATGTCGTCACAATGCTATGAAGCAACGGAAGCCTTGAATTTCTTTTTCAATGAAACAAGGTCTATTCACAATGCAATCTTTCTATGTACAATTCTACTAGTCCAGCGAAACTGTGGCTAGTTGGAAGTTAAAAAGCGCAAAAGATAACTAGAAACAAAGAAAGATGTGGAAATCAATATTACTTGCAACTATCGTTATAAGAACAATGGTTTATATGTACCATAACATCACACTTGTTTTAACATCAGATATTCACAGTGACATGTCTATATATATTTCAGTGTTTCTGTCTCCTGCCCATGTTGCAAGGCTCATCCACGACGCAAACTTTTCCGTCAAAGATTAAGTCGTTTCATCGAATTCCATGACCTAAAGAGAAGCCAAGACAAACAAAACAAAACAAAACAAAATAAAAAAACATTAGAGACAAAACTATACAATGTGTGGCACACATCTCTCTTTCAAGCGTAGTTTTAAAAGAAGAGCTTTGGAAATATAAACTTAAAAATTGTCATAAATCTTTGCTTTTCTCTTTTCCGAGTTATATTAGTTTTGCGGTGCACTAAAGGTAACAAAAGATTGTTTCTATTCGGAGACAACTTTTTCGTATTTTGAGACATGAAACCTTAAAAAAAATTAGGAAATCTATTCATTTGAGGTGCATTCGTATCAAATAACGAAACATCAGTTGTCCAAAATTGTAGAAATGTTAGGCCAGCGAAGTAAAACATATAATGCCAGGTTTTCTTTTAAGTGGTGAACGAGACAACCATGGTAGGGAAAAATACCTTGCCACATACAGGACAGCTTTCACTTCTCTCCATCCATTCGTAGATACAGGCAAGGTGAAAATGATGAGAGCATTTCGTCATTATTTTGGGGTTTTCTGGAGTATATTCTACATGACAAAGATGAGCATAAATTCATAGAATCTACATGTTTCCATAGGTTACATGATCCATAATGTATATCTTCATGGCTGATAAAGCAATTAAATCAAACAAGCATGATGGATCCACAAAATGGTGTTTTTGGCTTTAAATTTGTATTCGAGTCCCCTAAGGAAACTAAGCTAGAACACCAAACTGATTTATTTAGTACCAGAGATATATATAAAGAACAATAATTATAAAAACTAAATCAAGCTTAAGTGAAAGGCTTCTTCTCTTCCTTTGACATGTTCTTTGGGGAAAAAAAAAATAGCGAAGGAGCAGATATAATATGAAAAAGAAGAATAATAATAACGAAATTTTCAAGTACTCTTATATAAGAATAGGTGGAAGGTTTATTTGGCCTATAACATCAACTAAGAAGCATCACCAACTATCGCAACTGATAAATCTTCAATACAATTAACAATCGGCATATTAACAATCAACAGGCAGCAGCACCATTAAAATAGGATTGACATGGTGACAATAAAAATTCAAATAAAGTTAGTGACAAAAATACCTTCAAGACATGTAGGGCAGACATCCTCATCTTCTGATGAGGTATAAATGTTACCAACGCCAGTTGTTGTTTTAGTCACTGAGAGCTTTAGTGAGGACTTAGAGCGGTGTTCTTTGGATCCATCTTCGCAAACAGATTCATTCCATTTGTCAGCTGTACTCAAACTTTCTGAATCTGCATCAGTATCACTTCTTAAAGGTTCTGACTCTTCATGTGAATGACTCGTGCCTTTCTCACGCCTTGAAATCAGTCCATCCCGCTGCAAGCGGAAGTATCTCGGGTCAGCGTCATAAGGCAAAGGCCTCGGAGGAGAACGATACATGTCAGCTAGAGAGTTGTCAAGTGATGTTGTAGAACTCAAAGATGCTGCCCCCTGAATAGATGAAGGGAGGGAATGCACCTCGCTTCTTCGGAACAGTGATGTATACTGCAACAAATTAAAAAATAAAAGAAAAACGGTTCCGTTTTTCCAGAAAGTTACCGTTTTAAAGTTCTTGTAAAACAAATCTGAATTCACACAAGATAAATTACTAACTTCTAAATGCTAGGGAACATCTACCTCAGTGTAAAAGAACTAAAAAGCAGATCCTTATTCGTCCAAACAAGGAAACTACATATATGGTGGTGTTTCAACTTTCAAATCGGGTTTTCAACCAAGTATCTTATTCAAATTTCAAAGCCAAAAGGCAATGTATAAAATGGTAGAAGCATATTCCTTTCTTGGTAGAATTTAGTCAAAGCGTTGCTTATAGAATCTTATAATTAACAATTGCAAACATAACAATCAGTTAATTAAGTGTCGTCTGTAAAATGTAATCATATCACTAAGACCTAACAACGCAAACTCACAACTCTCTCTCGGCAATTCTCATTTCCTGTTCCTGTCGCAATTTTTATACGAGGCTTTCACTGATGAGTCCCAAAAAGACATACCACATTAAGAAGCTAACCAAGCCTCAGACTAACAGGCTAAAAGTAAACACTCCAAAACAAGTGATCCATAATATGTAAGTCAAAAGGCTAAGAACTAGAAAAGCAATGTGCATACAGCATACATACAGAGCAACAGAAAGAATGAAAATGCGAAAAGACATACCACATTAATAAAGTTCTGAAGAAAACAACTAAGGCAAATGCAGTTCCTATATACAGAACTGTTTGGATTCACATAATCTTCAAAATCTTCCACACTAAAACAACAACAAACAGCTCCCATTATGCCAGCTTCAGATTTTTCACTCAAAACCCACCACAACAATTCTCCAATCTCATTGACAGGAGAAGCTAACCAAGTCTCAGATGCTCCCTTTTGCACAACAATAACCCTTTTCTTCCCAAGAAGGAGAGAGGACTCAAAGCTCGCAGAAGGGTCACAGCCTTCGCGAACCGGTACCCTCCCTCTTCTCTCTGAAAAGGCTGAATAGCCTTTTTGTCTTTTTGATCAAGTGAAAGAATCAATTTATTTTCTTCACCTGTAAACAGAAGAGAATCATGTTAATGAATCGCATTCACAAAGAACAAACACCAAACTAGTTGTTTCTATATCAATTCATGAACTGAATTAACCAAAATGAAATACACGTACATCCAAGCTGATTTGGTTGAGAGAAAACTACTGTCAATATATATACATAAGTTTATACATATATATTATATAAGCTATTAATTGAGTTGTCATGGGAAAGTTGCTATGAAGTTCAATGACTCATTCGGAGAAAAACGGCATATCAAATTTGAGAAATTGGGAGAAAGTTATCGCACATTTGACATAGATAATTCACAAAAAGGGAATTTCTTTTCCGTTTCTTTTGAGATTTTTTTTCCCCCTCATTTGACATAAAAGGTGAAAATTTTCTTCACATAGAATTCCAACAAAATAAGGAAAATTGATGCTTATCAAAAGAGGAAAAAAAAATCATGAAAGTTCTTTCCTTTAGTGGTAAGAAAAAACAGAATAATCAACCCACACGAAATCCTCAGACAGCAGATTTCTAAGTGGAATTATTACGCAGAAAACATCCTTCCACAAATGTTAAGCCAAAAAAAAAAAGAAGCCAATTCCACCAAAAAAAGTTATACAGATAATCAATTGCCAATTACAAAAAAAAAATAAAAATAAAAAATAAAAGTAATTGATCAAAAAATAAGACCCCGTCAGAACTTTTTTCGAAAAAAAAAAAAAAAAAAAAAAAAAATTGCTCTGCGTACAGAGAGGTTCTTAACACAAAACCCATTCTCAGAAATTTACATTAAGACCACAAAATTAAAACGCGGAACAAAGCGATAGATGATCAAAGAGATTTAAAAAAAAAAAAAAAAGAAAAAAAGAGTACCTTAATAGCTGAGCAGTGGAGAGAGAAAAGCGGAGGAGAGAGAGAGAGAGATTGTTGATTTTTCTGAAGAAGGTGGAGTCTGAGAAAAGACAAGAGGAACCAGGACAGAAGTGGGAAAATAGGTGGGATTGGATTGGGTAATTAATTTCTTCGATTTTGGGAAATTTAAAGGAGCCTTCCAAAATCGTTACAATTCTACAATTGGGTTTAAAAATAAGTCCAAAATCTGTAGTCTGTAATCTGTAATCTGAATGACCGCGTGTGCTTTTTGGATTCTTGGGCGAGAATTGCTATGAAGCGCGCAAACAAATATATAAATAAAGGGAAAAGGCATAAATATGATGAAATAAATATAAATATATAATGAAAAGCCCACCTTCTCTGTCTTTCTCTCTGCCGGTGGGTGGAAGAATCTAATCCTACTTTATTATATTTTTGCTTTTAAAGTTTAAATTAAAAAAACATGTTGTAAAATGGTCTCGTTCACTTTGTTGATTCGAGTTTAGAATTCGAGTTAAAATGTGATTTTATATGAGAACTTTTTACTATAGCAAAAAAGTTAGATGTGATTATTTGTGATAGTTTTTTACTGTAGAAAAACTCGAATTCTAAACTCAAATCAGTAAAGTGAAGGGGACCGATCATCTTTAATGTTTTTTTTTGGATTGAAGTGACGATTAGTTTATAGATTTAAAATTTTAATTTATGATTTTAATTTTTAAAATTTAAAATTTTTATTAGATAAAAATATTGTAACAGAATCATAAATTATAATATGCATAGGAGAATTTTTTTTCCTTTTTTTCTAAATAATGTATGATCGTTTTTTTTTTTTTTTGGTAGAAAATGTATAATCGGAACTTATAAAGTTGAACAACTTTATACAAAAATGACAGGAAGAAAAAAATTTAAAAAAAAAAAGACGTCCAGCGTCTACTACAATATTTGAATTGTTTTTATTTATTTTTTTTATTTTTGATAAGCACCGTAGTTGAGTTGTCTATAAATCCTGGGGAAATATTCCCAATTGCTAATTTCGGAAGAAAAATATGTTGGAGAGATAGTGGGCTTTTTTTTTTTCTCTTGGAGTTTCTTATAAATTCTTCTTTTGAAAAAAAAAAAATCAGAATGGAGGGATTATCATTAATGTAAATATGAAATTATTGTTAAGTAAAGTATGCAATTACATAATTCATTCATTAAAGTTTTTATGGCATAATCCTTTATTAAAGTTGTCTAACTTATTTTCATTCTTAATAATGTATTGCTCCAATTTTCATTGTTGCGTAATTAGTTAGGAGAATGTTATAGTAGGGTGTGAGGTTATTTCAGATTCTATTCGTTTTGTGTATTTTATTTAAAGTATATTTTTGTTTTTATGCGATTATAATGTCATATTTAAGGTTACACTAACGGTAGAAGCACCTATGGAAGAAGACCTAAATAATTATTGCTAAAAACATTATGTGAAATCATTGTGGTAGACGTGGTTGTTTATCAAATTATTCCAATTTCATAGGATTGGAAATTTTTTACTTTTGCGATCCCTAACAACTAACAAACGTTTGATAAGCATGAAGCCATTTAAACATCTAAGCAACAATATAATAGATGATAGAATTAGTTTTTGATTGTTTTTGAAATGTTTTCGCATGTCTTTTGAGACACGAAAATAAAAATAGTTTGTAAACCGTATTTGTTTAGCAAATATTTTAAAAACGAAAACAAAAAACAGTGAGAATGATTTTTGTGAATGAATTAGAAAACAGTTGAAAATTATTTTTCCTTTTCTGTTTTCATTTTATAATACTTATCAACAATGCTATATTATATTAATTAATAATTATAACCGAACACGATTTCACTTTTTTATTATACTCAATACAATCTCTTAAAAAATCAACCAAACGCAATTTCAGAATTGGTCTCAGAATGATTCTAAAAACAATCTCATTTTTTACTTTTGTATTGAAAACAAAATCATTTTCAAAATGTTACCAAACATGCCCAATGTCTTCGTCTTCTCTGGAGAACGCAGTCACGAACGCTGGCTGTTTTTCGATGTCGGCCTTTTTTTTTCAAGGCCAATTTGCGAATCATGAGCTCTTTCCTTAGCAAAGATCCCCTAAATCTTAGGCTTTCCTCGGTCGAGATCTTTGTCACTAGCAATGTCGTTGTCTTCCCCAACAAACTACTAGATCGTTGCAAATCGGAGATGATCGCCGCGCTCCATGGATGCCCATCTCGGAATGGCGCCAAGCCATAGACAAGGTAGAGAGGAGCATCAATAGGTGAGTGAGAGAGAAGAATCAAAAGAGAACATAGAGAGAGTATATAGAAACAAAGAGATGCGATAGAGAGATAAAGAAAACGTAAAAAAGAAAAAAAAGAACTTTCTCTAGCATATCTTTGTATTGGTAGTACTAGTTTCTGACATTTAAATGTGGTCAAAATCACATCAGATAAAAAATACGCAAAATAGACAGTTTATAATACAAATTCGACGGTTGAAAGGTAAACAAATAAAAATAGCCTTTTTTTGTCCTATCAAAGAAATTATCAAAAAATAAAAGAAATAAGGGAAAACCTGAAGAGGTAACTTTGGAAAAGCAAATACTTTAAAACATTAGCTAATTCTAAAAATGCTATTACCTAACATTTTTAAAATATGCTATTAAGTTTCAATAAGGTCTAAAACTATGTACATGATGCATTTTTCTGATTATTATGAAATAAAAAAAAAGCATTTGATGTATTTGATTTTTATTAAATAGAAACGTTGTTTTCATTTTTTTTAACTTTTAAGTATAGATGTAGTAAATATGATGGGCTAGGGCTGGGCCACGGCTTCTCAACCTGTGGCCCAGGCCCGGTCCTAGCCCTTGAAGTTGGCGGTCCGGCCCAATCCCAGATTCGGCATTTGTTCTACTCGGCCCATGAATGATTCAGCCCGCCAGCTTGTGACCGTTGGGCACGCGAAGGGCCCAATGGTCACAAGCCGAGAAATGCACCAAAAATTTATCTATAAATACCCTTAAATCCCACACAACAATTCACTCTCAACTTCTCATCTCACTCTCATTCTATCTCTTATCTTGTCTCTTTGATATTTATTCTACGCTTTTCTCTCTCGATTACTCATTTTCTTGCTCTTTTATTTACAAAGTTCAATTAATTTTCAGAAATCTCAGAGAAAAGATATTCTACTTATCAATTTTGTTACATAACATTGTATTACTCAAGTTTATTTATATTGTTTATTGTTTAAAAATGAACGAATTAACATTAAATTCTGGTTTTTATTTTAGAAAATGACTGCATTAAATTTCCATGATTTCACTGCTCTCCTTGAACTTGGTGATGAGCCATTTTATGAGGATGAAATGGTGAGATTCAACCACTATCACCATTAATAAAAGCTCGTCATATAATTTATATACTTATAGTATATTTGTATTTATTAATGTATTTTATCAACAATGGCTGCAGTTTGTAAGCTTGAAATTTGGACAAAAGAAAAGGTGATAAATTGAAACGTTGAGTCGTAAGTCCCCCCTTTTAGATCGTAGGTCCCCCTCTTTAGGTCGTAGGTCCCCCCCTTTGGGTCGTAGGTCCCCCTGTTTTGGATCGTAGGTCCCCCCTTTGGGTCGTAGGCCCCTCCTTTGGGTTGTAGGTCCCCCCTTATAGGTCGTAGGTCCCCCCCCTTTGGGTCGTAGGTGATGAAGACATCAGAGATACAAGGAATACACATGATCCAATTCAAGTCCCAGTTGGTCCGGTGACAAGGTATCGAGCTAAAAGATTTAAAGAAGAAGTGAATAACCTAGTCCGGAGAGTTCTACAACAAGAAGATAGAGTGTTCACTACTGAGGGTGAACAAAGGCTAGTTTTACTCATTAAAGTTGATCCGGAAGAAAGCCATTCAGACATACACGTCCATTAAGCCATTGCATGGCCAATTCGCATGTCATTCCAAGATACGCGTGTAAGGGTAAGACCAAGAGGCTTAGGCGTAATTTCCAGCAAGAACAAGAGGCTTAGGCACAATTTCCAGCAAGGAATCAAGTCACAATTACAGATAAAGACTTGATTTCATTATCATTCTATCTTTTTAGATTCAAGGTTTAATTTTAAACATTTAAATTTCATATTAGGCGTTTAAAAAGAAGGAGTTAGACTCAAATTCAGATTCCTTCCCTAGGATTAGTTTTAGGCGTGTTTTATCTTATCTTTAGGTGTTTATCTTCATGTAGGCGCCTACCACATTAAGGGTAGAATATGACTTTTACAATTTTGACTATCTTTATCGTATTTTCGGCTACTTAAGGCTGAAATCCGAATTTAATAAGAAGTTTAAATATTTTATTCACATTGTGAGATATTTTTCTTGTGTTCTTAAAGAAACTATTCTGAACTTATCAAGGATTCCTTGTGGCGTTCACCCTTGACTTATCAAACGGATTTTCCATACTCGTTTGTGGCGTCTTCATCATACTAAGGTTCTTGCTTTGCTAAGCAACGGGTCGCGGTTTCCATCAATTCTTGAAGATCTAGAATCGCATCCCATATTTGGCTACGGGTTTCGTCACGTTGTTGGCGGGGTTCGTATTAGTAGGTTCCCCCCTTTGGGTCATAGGTCCCCCTCTTTAGGTTGCAGGTCCCCCCCTTTGGGTAGTAGGCCCCCCCTTTGGGACGTAGGTCCCCCCTTTGGGTTGTAGGTCCCTCCCTTCGGGTCGTAGGTCCCCCCCTTTTGGGTCGTAGGTCCCCCCTTTGGGTCGTAGGTCCCCTATTTGGGTCGTAAGTCCCCCCCTTTGGGTCGTAGGTCCCACCCTTTGGGTCGTAGGTCCCCCCCTTTGGGTCATAGGTCCCCCATTTTGGGTCGTAGTGTGACGATCCTAACTTTTGATCATCATCCTATGCTCATACTTAACATTTCTTAATCTCTACCGTTTACTAGTTTTAACTTCTTAAAATTTCAGGCCATTTTTTTTTTTTACCAAATACGTTAAAATGTTGTAGCATTTAGCTAGCATTCTGTTTTCAGCCTTTCCTAAAATGATGTAGCATTCTGTTACATTAGTCATCACAATACATAAGAAACTATTTTATTTTACATATAAAGTTCAGCAACGTTTCTAAAGCACGTGATACATCCACAACCCACTTGTCCACATTCCACTGCTACATCCTCTCTGCATGCCCAGCATCAAGTTTCAGGGAGCCGGTGCCTTACCCGTGCTTCCTACAACACGAACAAACTTAATGAGCTTTTACTCAGCAAGTATCAATAGATCATAACAGATGCAATAATTATGCATACCCATA